GTTGAGTCGGTGGGTCTTATTGGGATGGCCGTTGGCAAAAAAACAAGGGCGCGGTCCGTTTTTTCTCGGAGCGGATGCCCCGACTGGTCCGTTGACTCGGTGGGTCTTATTCGGGGGGCCATTTTTGAACGGCTGCGGGTTTTCAGCGTGTGTGGTTGGTGGTTTCTGTCAGTTGTGTTCTTCTCTTTTGTTTCTGGATTTTAGTTACATAAGCGTGGATTCTGTAATCCGTGGGCAAGGCCCCACGAGCAACGAGGATGCTATTTATCGCCTGACTCTGGACCTGTTCGTGAACATATGAATAAAATAGGGACCCATCTGCTGTTCTGCATCTTAGCGAAAAGCCACCCAGGTTCAGGCCTGCTATGGAATCATCTTTGCTAGCCTGAGTGCGTGGGTGTAAAGTCACTCTCTATAGCTTAAAAAAAAAAAAAAAAATCTTTTTTGTTGTTTTTCCAAAAAAAAAAAAAAAAAAAAAAAGATCAAACTTTTGCTCCATGACGGGGGGAGTCCGCGCAAAAAGTGCGCTAACGTAGCGGCGGTGGCGGCGCCTGGTCGTCGGAGGCGGCTGCATAGGTTGTGACGTTGAGATGTGGTGACGCTCATCTTTCACGTGGCGCCTATACTCTACACTTGAAGTCTATACCAACCTTTATACCTAATAGCATCCAGATACCAGAGGAGCCGTCCTCCCCTTAAGCCTTTTGCTCGTAAGGGGGGGCTCCTTTTCAATATCCAAAGGCCGGGTGTTGGATACGCAGGACATGTTACTTCGATMGCCTCGGTCGTTAAGAAAGCACGGATGGCGGGGCGGCGCATCTGGATGCAGTGGGAGAGCGTACGGTTGCGGTGGCAGCGCTTCGGCTTGTCCAAGGGTTATAGCGAGGCTCGGTCGTTCTATCTACGGTGCAGGGCAGTCTGAGTCTTTTTATATACTTCATGTTTGGTGTTATTCTCTTAAATTGGTCGTCATAATTGTTTTAGTATCCGTTCCTGGGTTATGTGTAGGTTGAAGACCCATGATTGATTGATTTATCTGTTGGAACATTTCACAGCGTTTTCCTTCGTGTGTTGGTTGCTTTAATTTGTGGCTTTGTCTTGGGACCGCTTCTGTTGATGGCGATGTAGTGTTTCACGTATAGGAAACAGTGATGTAGGGCCACTTACACCTTACAGAGTTCGTCACTCGTAAGTGGCCGGGGTATCCTTGTATTGGTTTAGGGAATTCCTCACAGGGTTGGAGGGTATGAGAGACCCGGTGAAGAGCAAACTAGCGTTGTATCCATTGGGTGCGTGGTGGGAAACCCGTCTAGGCAACAAAGGCTCTTTACAGCGTTTTTGATAGTGAGGTTGAGGAGGTAACCCTAATGTTTATCCCTGTCCCAATTCTGTTTTGAAAGATTGCCTGTCTAGATTCTATCTTGTAGATCTTATGTGTGTTACTCTGTTATTTTTGGAATTTGGACGGTTGTAATGACTTGAAGCCTTATGGGTGGCGGCGCCAACAGCGGGAGTGGGAGTCTCACTAGTGGCGGTGGGAACGTTTCCCAAAGGCGATGAGTTAAACACGTCTTAGATTCTCGGTATTCTGAAGTGCTGGGATATGCTTGCAGTAGTCTTGGATGGTTCTCACAGGGTAGGGATGATACGAGAGACCCAGGGAAGAGCAAACTAGAGTTGTATCCATTGGGTGCGTGGTGGGAAACCCGCCTAGGCAACAAAGGCTCTTTACAGCGTTTTGTATGGTAAGGTTGAGCGGGCAACCCCAATGACTATTTCCTCTTCCCAGCTTTTAGCTATCGAGATTTCTTTGTGTAGTCCGATATATTTTGGAATTTGGATTGGTTGTTTTTAATCGTTTGCCTCCTCGGATTACATATTTCATAGAGATAATTTTACTACATTGAGTTTAAAAATTGTATGTGTGTCAATGCTAAAAATCCGGTAGGACCGGGGGGTCCTCCCCCAACCGGAACCGGACCGGTCCTACCGGCCGGTCGACCGGGCCGGTTTCCCCCCGGTTGGCTGTAGCGCATCTTTTTTTTTTTTTTAGCCCATGGTGTTGTTGAGGCCAAGGACTAGATCCACAGTGATTGCTGGCAGCCGCAGCCGGTGGTTGTCCTGACAGGATAGGCCACCTTCCCTACCCTTCCCCACGTTAAACCACCAGTACTTGGCCCAGCTATTAATGGCTCCGTGACCTGCCGCATTACAGTCGGACCATGATCAACGGCCGGGCAGGGAAGAAGGTTTATTCCTCGATGAACAGCGCCCGGCGAGAACGCGGATTTCTCATTAATCAGCTCGTGTCAACAATTTTTTTTTTTTTTTTTTTTTTTTCTTTTCTTACAAACAGTTTACTTCCACTCCCTCATGGGGCATTTTCGCAATTAATGGCTCAGGGCAAAACAGCCCCTCAGCTCGTTCATCGCTACCATGTGTGCAGCACTGATAGAGGGACGGCTCAGGGGTGTGATTTGATCTGGTGACGTGTCCCCCATTCTTCCCAGCTCATACGTAATGAAGCCCCCCTGAGAAGGGTGGTTTTCCCCGTTCCTTAGCATTTTTAGTAGACTTCATTTTTTTCTTCTTCCCCCCTCCCTTCCTTGCACTAGTGTGATGACGCCTAGCTGGAAGACGATGTGTTTTTGCGAGATAAGGAACGTCCGTGCGGCATTCTGTGACATCAGAAGTCGACACGTGCGCTTCTTCTTGCTGGGCGTATTCGTCGTCTCCTTTTTCCTGATCTTAGCTGCCATGCTCCGCAGCTACAGTCCGGTCGAGGGACTGTCCCGCAGATTCTCATCGTTGGCTGTGATTTCGAATTCCGATGTGCACGTGGTTGGGCGCCTTCTGCAGGCGCCCACTTCGGCAGCCTCGCCATCTCCTCAGGAGGTATCACCGCTCTTGATCGACAACTCGGTACGGTTCGTTGCTTCACATCCATCCCCGACACAGGATTGTCAGTCTGTAATCGCGAACCTGGTGGTTTCGCCTCAGAAATGGCTGTACTATGTCCTCGAGCAGACCTGCTCAAACAGCAGCTCAAACAGCAGCTCAAACAGCAGCTCAAACAGCAGCTCAAACAGCAGCGTTACGTCGATCAGAAAGGCCAATTTGTCGAGAGCGCACCTGCGATTGAACTCGGCAGACGACGAATCAACATTATTAACGTACTTGTGGTCTTACGACCAGCGGAATGGGTCGAGAATTGCAGAGCGCCCGAATTCGACGGCTTCCGTGATGGGGATGGCCCTTTCGAAAGATGGTTCCCATCTCATCTTGAGCGTAACCTACCCTTTCTCCGATTCTAATTCTGCTATGTCCTTCCGCAATGGCAGCATCACGTCCTTGTCTGTTTCTGACTCCTCCCGTCTTTCTTCCTCCTCGCTTTCCTTTCAGGATATTACCAAAATCGGTTTGGACCCTTCCGGAGAGCGTCTGGTTTATGGTACGGACGGTCGCGGGGGACTCCAATATATTCAGGTCGATGGCTCGGGACTTCCGTTCGATGTACCGAACCTGGCTTGGGATACTGCGCGTAGGTACATAGATCAAAATCACGTTGATGACGCCATATTCCAATCTCAAAGCTTTGTGAACAGTAACAACAGTTGCCTTTATTTTTCGCAGACAGATGCGAAGCAGCTGCTCGGGTTTCACCAGAATATCGTGGGAACCGGACCCGCAGTGCTATGGACCTTCCCAATTAAAACGGAACGTACGGATGATTTTGTCGTCACTCGAGACGGGTGTCATCTCTTTTTTACCCTAGGGTTTCGTCTATATAGTGCGGACGTCCGCACACGATGCTCTCAGGTAGGAAGTGGGATGTATGAGATGGGGTACCGACGGGGAAGACTTACGGGACTGGCATTGATGGAGAATGAAGTGGGGGAGGACGCATACTTATACATGGGCTCTGAGGACGGGAACCTTTTTGAAGTGCAGTTGAACAGGTCCGGCAGAGGCTGTGTATTAGAAGCGGAACAAATCAATTCCCCTGTTCCCGCTCCAGCTGGATCTGGCATCACTGTTCTGGTAACAACTGTGGTGGCTGTCACAGTGGTCGCCATGGTAATCATTGCCAGCTTGATTTGCCTATGGAGGAGAGCGCGCCGCCGACCAGCTGGTCCGGAACGTGCCCTGGAAGTCGGTGAGCAAGCAAAGTCATCTTCACCGGAAGATGAGGCGTTGGACGTGTGGGGAATTAAGCCGTCGCGGGTCAAGCAGTTCGCTTTCAGAGTCCTGTCGGAATGTACGGACAGATTCAGCGAGGGTCGAAGAATTGGGGAGAAGGGAGCGTTTGGGAAGGTTTGCAGAGGCTCGCTCGACGGCGAGGAGGTCGCGATGAAGGTGATGACGGGTGAGCTAACGGACACCAAACGGAGCCAGTTTGTCGCCGAAGTGAACACCCTCAGCGGGCTCAATCATGCGAACCTCGTACGACTAAGTCGGGTACTGCCTCGCGGGCGATCACTGCATCTTGGTGTACCCTTTTTTCAGAGGAGGCAGCCTACACGGGCGGCTGTCGGCCAAGGCCGTCGGTGGGAAGGATGCAAAAGCGCCGGACACGGACCAAAGTGTCGAGAATCCATCCCCTCCGCTGACGCTTCTGGAACGCATGAGCATCGCCTTCCAGGTTGCGAAGGGGCTTGGCTACCTTCACGACGCCGCCAGGCCCCCCATTATCCATCGGGACGTCAAGAGCAGCAACATTCTGCTCGGCGAGGGATCTGGAGAGAAGCTTCACGTCGTCGTAGCGGATTTCAGAATAGCAGCCATCGGGGAGAGAGTATTGGGCACAGGGCATGACCACGTCGTGCTGACCTCTCACATTGGGGGCACTTTCGGGTATATGTCGCCCGAGTACATGCTGAGAGGAGAGCTGTCCGAAAAGAACGATGTGTACTCTTACGGGGTAGTCATTCTGGAGCTGTTGACGGGCAGGAAGGTGGTCGCGCCGGCTCCTTCCGGGCTGGGATGGCAGACGCTCGTCGAGTGGGTAAAGCCTTTCCTTCGAGGGGCAGTCGTCCAGAGCGAGAGTATGGAGATGCCGTACCTGATACTTGATCCGTGCTTGTGGGATTTGGTGGCTGGAGATTCGATGACGAAGAATATGGTGATGAACACATTCCGACTGGCTTGGGAATGCGTCCAAGAGGAGTATGGGTCCAGACCAGCCATGAGAGAAATCATTCAGCGCATGCACAATATGTTCCTGGACGTGGGTTGGGATGGCCTGACGGTGATGATGGTGGACCTAGAAAACAATGTGGATGAT